AGTTACCGGTTACAGCGCGGCAGTCTGTAGGCTCAGCAGAACAAGGCATCAAAGTCAGTGAGAATCTAAAAGAACTAAAGCGGATTATTCGCCATGTTTTTCAGTGTATTAAATATTGAAAAATGTCAGAACTTTTTGGTTAGAAGCAAGAACACAGCGAAGAATACTAAACATCTATACATCTACCTATAAGGCCATTGAAAGATTAAACTGTGGTAATTAAATTGCTATTAAATTAATGATCTTTTCTAAAATATAAAAGTTTTAATATAAAGTATAACAAAAGTAATAAACTTTATAGATGCGTTGCAAGTTCAGTTTAACTATGTTTCTGATCGAGATAAATGGCTTTAATTAAAACTATTTTCCTGCAATTAACGGTCTAACATAACTTCGGCACCAACACACACCAAACTTACCTAACATGTGTGCTACAGAAATAAACCAAACTAAAGATTTTACATGTATTTTGTAGATACTTATATAATAACCACATAAAATTGTAACTTTACCACTAAAAAGATATTTTCTAAATATTATGCATTCGCAGACAAAAAAAAACTTGGAACATGAGTGTGCAAATTTTATTCAAATCCGCAACTTCATCGCCCTGCTCTGTATAAAATATCAACTCATTAGCATACAACATATACATACAGCATAAATAACACATAAAACGCGTGTAATGTACCAATGTAATGTTTGAAGTAGTTAATTTGTTAACAGTGTGCGTAATAAATCGTGAATCGCGCGAAGAAAGTCGCTCCGAAGGTAACGCACACGCCTGTAAATGGCCACGTTTTTAAGGTCTACCATCCACAGACATTTTTAGCGAAGTGTAATTTATTCACTACTACATGCAGACGTGTCATGTGTAAATAGTCATTCACGCATTCACAAACACAACGGCAACAGCAGCAGCAAAACGAAATTGAATTCTGAATTGTGCTGGTTGAATGCCGAATGTAAGATCACTACGCGCCTCGAGCGCAAAGTGTAATCGGTGTGTTGTTAACCTTAAACCCAATAACATACAGAAGAGTATATTTTACTTTTTATTTTTATCGGCGACGCAGAGAACAACGCAATAAGCAATTTGTTATGATTCAGCTCAAGATGGCTTATTATAAAGAGAAGAAAAAAAAACACAATCACCAGGAGCATAGAAATGATTATGTGGATAAACGTGCGGCATCTTGGAAGATTTATCTTTATCAAGCTTTGGAACCTTCGCATTGTCCCTATGACCTTAATTACTTTTTATGTTCAACCTTCAAAATTACAAAGTATAAACTTCATTGTGTACCTACTATTAATTTTCATTTGATGTTAAAGAAGACGCATTAAGAAAAATCTATAAAAATCATTAACGAGGTCCTGGCATCGTAAAAAGTTTCAATTTTAATATCAGATCATAAGCTCACATCCGCTTATGTGTTGGTGTGAAGACATCTGTACTTCATGCCAAACTACCACATAGAACAGGATCTAAAACAACTTAAAGCATCTCTACAACACAAACGGAATGTCAATTTCAAACGACCTTGATTCATAAAATCAACAGACATACTTTTAGTATGCACGCAGCATATAACCTTCTCAATAAATTGCACATCGAATAATCGAAAATCTAAATATCTCACAGATACACTTTTCTTTTCGTATTTTTAAGAACCTGGTCCAAATTTAATTAAACATGACAAAATGACCATTCCCAGAATATTGTCACTGAAAGACTATAGAAGATGAGATGCTGTGAAGAGTTTAGTATGGACGCCATGCAGGCGTAAAGAAAACGACACCAAAGACACCAAACATATTGAGCCTACTCTAGTGCTACAGGATAGTGGCCCTTCGATAGTGCACAGAAATTTGATACTTTCGCTGCGCATCATGTGCTCACGCCTGTGTGCACATGTTAACTAAATGGCTTTCTTGTGGCAGTTCCCAAGCACATCCACAACCAAGCCTCCCGATGATTGGGATGTCTCTCAGGGTCTCAGCACCAGACAGAAAACACATTTATAGCAGACATAAATGATGGCAAAATGAGGCAAATAAAGATCACAAAGATATCTTCATCAAAACAAACGAAAAATGTCAACATCTGAGAAAATTATGAACCAATGAAGACATTGATGTTGTTATAGTTAATGACAAAGTAAATATTTGCTTTGTTCATTTTTCAGTACCTTGCGATGACACAAAGACTAATTGAAAAATAATTGTAGCTCGACTCGAGTACCAACCGCCTTCATTTTATCACCATGACATAGAATGCTATTGCTGTAAGTGAAAACGCGTGAAATTTACTTTTACTTAAAACATCATCACACCTCCAACAACAGTCCATCAAAAAGTGAATTTCATAATTCGCTAAAGCCAAATCATCAGAGTTTCAAAACGTGCAGCTAGTAATAAAAATCGCAATAAAACCCAAAATGACAATAGAAGATTGCCATTAAACGCATTCGGTGCTGGCGCAGATTCAATTTCGTCATGAGTGATTGTCGCGCTTTACGGGGCACTAATTGTCAGGAATTTTATCGTTTATCTCATTCGGCGCCGAACGGCACGGCAATTATTCAAACGGCGGCGCTAAACGAGTGCGTTATTTAACGTCGACACAAAAATATCTTTGAAATGTCTAAATAACTACAAACACGCCAATCGTGTAACTGTCAGCGGCGCTTTGTCGTATATTGCAAAATTACAGATTACAACGACCAAACTACAGCAGCCGAAATTTTAGTGTAATAAATACCACATGTTTGAGAGTCACAATGCGTTGAAACTTGCGCTGAAATGCGACGGGACTTTATGAATATTTCGGTACGCTTGCTGAAAGTTGCAACGCGTTGTTGAACAGTTGAAACTCTACAAACAAATCGTAAACATCTGCTACCGACCATGCATGCACCATTTCGTGTGTTGCGCATTCGTATGCACTTGAAGCAGCTTTGAATGGCACACAAGCATGCGATTCACAAAAGAAATTCAAGCATTTAACCTGCAAATGTATCGCACCCCCACAAATAATTAATTTATTAATAAACAGACACTTTTTATCCCCGCACATCCCCATGAATATTTTACATCATCTACATCTTAACATGCATGTTCATTTTCTCAACTTTATGACTCTCGCATGTATACAGGGAAAGTACCCAAAGTGCAGTTTGAATACTTTATGAAGCATCCACTCAGACTCCGCACTGGCACACCATATTTTAGCTGGTCTTGCTTTCAGTACGCAGTTGTTCTCCTTGTGCAGTGTTGTAGATTGTTGCTGTTGGCGTCAGGAGTCGGGACCACACGAAATGTTTTATTTATTTACAAAAACTTCGGCCGCAGACGACATGTGCATAAATGCATGCGGCGATGTCGTCGTGCGGTTAGCGTAATGTTGGAAACGCGCGGCGAGGCGTTGAATGTTAAAAATGTGTTGGGTTTGCGCGCCAAGAACATATTTCACCGCAATGCAAATGTGTAAACGTGTTGCAATGCTCTTTGTGCCAAGAAGGGGTTTACATTAACGTCTTTGTCCGAAAGCCCAGTTGATCCCCATAGCTCAATAAAATCGACTACAAAGTTGCGTTATTTTTTGCAGGCAAGTTTAGTCTATGCCGCCACATTTCACATAAATATACGGAGAAGTAAACATCCGAATCAAAAATAAGCAGCAAGTGCTGTAAAGTTATAAATCGTTCATTGAAAATCGGCGTTAAACACAGTCGTAAATTTGCATTGAATTATTTTATCTGCGGCCCGAAAAAGGTCAGAGTTCGTCGTCATCGTCGGTTGGCCGTAGTAGCACACACGTGAAATGTAAAATTGCGCAACAGCACGAGCACAAATCGCGCACTTTCGCCTCGCGACTGATTTTCAATGGGCACACAAACGATGGAAAAACCGCGCGCACACTGTGAAGGAAGAGGGCGATGCCAAAGCGCCTACAACTTCAACACAACATCTTCAAGCATGCAAACATTTCCACATCCGACATTCAAAACCCAGATGATTCCAACTTCCAACCGTCGTCATATCGGATCTATTTCGGACCGAAATCACCGCGGGTGTTTTTCACAACACGAAACAACTGTCAAGCGCGTTGCGTTCTGCTAAGGTTCGGAAAATGCTACTATACTGTAAATCGTCCTGCCTGAATGACTAGATTTTAATAACCTACTATTATTTATGCAAGTGTTTGCATGTGCAGAATTTTGCGTGCGGGTGTGAGTAAACGCCACAATCCATCCACATCTACACTCTACTTCTGTTGCTGCTGGTATTGTAAAGTCCCTATCGCGTTGGAAACCTCGTATAGGTGGAACTATTGGCACGATGCCATCGCGAGCCGCTGGCGGGCAAAACGAGCGAATAAAACCCAAACGCAAGCAGTACGCAACACACACACACACACACACACACACACACACACACACACACACACACACACACACACAAATCAAACACACACACAAATCAAACACACCCACGAGAATCCGAACCCGAAAAATGAAAATCCAAAGAAAATGATAAATTTTTCAACACACAAGGTTATAAATGACTGTAAAATAAAATTTATTTTAAAAATTCCGAAAATCGAGAAAGGTCTATAATTTTGTAAACATCGTACGGTCTGAAAAACGTGTTTAGAGGCTAATCCCAGGGTTGCAAATTTATGCGCCGCCGGAAAACGTGCGTCGCTCGATGCGAGCGCTCAGCGTGCCACGTTTTCTTCGTGCAAAGCACCGAAATGGCACGAAATTAACAAGATTTATCGACGTGGACGCGTTTTATTAGAGCCCCGAAACCATCTTCGGCTATCGCGTGCGATCTGATAGCCGGCCGCCGATATAAAGCGTTTAAGCGTGCTCATCAACTCGTCGCTTTCCGACATCAATCCACTTCTAAACTCAACTTACAACCACTGCCCCCGCTGGCAGAATTTTATTACGGGTTTGGATTTTCTTTCTATATTAGATTTTGTTACTTACCGGGTAGTACATCCCTTGCGGAGGAAACAAAAACGCCCCGGCGCCCCACAGCTTGAAGCTGGTTCAGAACACTTTCGGGCATAAAACGAACCACCCTCCTCCCGCGAACGGTGAGCGGCGAGCGTGCCTGCCGCCTCCTCTGGCTGCTTGCTGCGCGCGTTTCACCACTGACGCGTGTTGTTGTATGCGTTCACTCACGGCGCGGCCCTTCAGCCTCTCTCGATCTCTTTAGAGTAAGCGGGGTGCGTTGCGCGAGAGCTTCTAACCTCCGATTTGCGACGCGGTCGCAAATGGCAGCCGAAAAAAACACTAACGATAATAAACAAACACGGCGCGGATTTGCTACTCAGATGATGAAAACACACGACGAATACACACAACAAACGACGGAGTGACTGACTAGTCTTGACTGAATGACGATGCGGTGTGTGCGGTAAATAAACTGGTAGTCGCCGTTGTCGAACGAGCGCAATTTCGGAGTGGCGCGGCTTCGACTGGCGTTGTTGGTTGGCGTGTGCGTGCCGACCGCGGTTCGGTATACTGCGTACGCCTTCGTGCACGCTCGTACCCACTCCTTCGCTCTTCGTCTAACTATCGGCAAGGCTATATTACTGTTTCGTTTTAACTCTCAGCACAACTCTTCACTCTACGCTCGGGGTGCTGTGCGGGGTGCAATTTTCACCCCTCGATTCTAATCCAGCTCTTGCTCTAGCGGCTGTAGCTTCTACCTCAGATCGGAGTCGCTTGCCGCACGCCGCGTATATTTCAGGGACATTTCAGGGACGCGCGCGCACGAAGGGTGCCGGCTGCTGCTGCTGCCGCCGCCGGTTTTCTGCTGCGAGTGGGGGTGGCGCCCGGAACACGATCAATGAAACGCGCGAGATGCTGCCCGTCTTTGTCTAGCTGTGCCCGGAGCGAAATCCCGACCGATCTCTATCAACATGTTTAAACGTGCGCTGCAGCAGCATCACCACGCGCCGTTAAGGCAATGCTGGTTTATATTTCAGTCGATACACTTCGCGACATCTCTCGGAAATCGCCCGAAGCTCCTTAGTGGAGTTGCGTACCCAACCAGACGGAACAAGCGCCATATGAGAGCAAATATAAACAGATATAAACCGATTTTTATAAATATGTAAAACCGGTTTGAAAAAATTATGAAAATAATTGCATTGCAAAAGTGCCGTGAGCAGTTAACTGTTCTAATGTTTCCTGTTCTAACAACTGCTTATAACACATTACACAACTTCCAAACACAAAATATTCAATCGAATATCTTCGCAATTGTAGAATTAAAACGATTTCAGAAGTAATGATTCATTTGTATTAACGTACTACTAAAAATACTCTCCGGATAAACAACTGATTCATCCAAAGTTTCGAAATTCCTGGCCGTTTCTAGAACTTGGCGAAGGATTTTCCAGCATTTCCGCATAACGTTACTTGCGCTTGCGCACACACAGACGCGCGCTTGTGCACCGCATCCACAATCAAAACTAACAAATCGAACAATTTGAAAACTCCCGTGCGCGTTTGTTAATCAGCGATGAGATGTTGGTACAGATTAAAACGCCGCTAGTCTGCATTGCGCTTTGTGTTCAACGCAGATTTATGACACGCGTGTTGTAGTAGTGTAATGGCATGCTGCATGGATGACAAAACAAAAGGTAACGCGACTAATAAACAATGCATCGTCGTGATCTGCGCCTACCGCAACATTATAAACCCGACACCACGTGAAGCATTGTAGCTGCGATATAACAGTTGTGCAGTGAACTTGTTTGCATGGAATCAACATTAAGAGACATTGTAAACGTAATTGCTACTATAGAAATACCATGTGTAAATAAACTATTAAACATTACAAGCAAATCATTTTCTATTATTATTTTTTTCAAAAATATTCTTTGTTCATCTGCTCTCACCACTTAACGTATGCAACCAGCCATACGTACAAACGCCGTGCTGCCCTCACAGTATGAACATTCCCTAAACCTATGAACTCTCACAATTGAATTGTTCACATATTTCCAATATTCAATATGTACACAAATGCAAAGATAAAACGGCAGTATTCAAAGCTTGTTCTAGATACTTTCCGTTGAGCACTTACAAACATTAATATGAAGTACATTTGTGTAGTACCAGTTTGTACAAGAAACGATTACAAATGAATATCAACAAGTCTATGTTTACCCGGATTTCTTCGAGGATCAAAGGCCACTCGGCATCTAACTCGGCCTGCATTAAATGCTTTCGACGGGCAGGATCGATTTCAAAATCACGTTTTGGTAGCATTTTTTGCTTAGAGACTAACTATCTAACTACTAAACTAACTATTTGCACAAAATGGAGTACATTCGAAATGCGAAAGACAGACGATTTACAATCAGTGCTGCCAACACAAAAAATACGAATTAAAATTAACTAAATAATTCATAATTAGATCTTATGTAGAAAAATACAGTCGTTGTATTTATTGTCACAGGAATAAAATCTATTATTTCTTCAGTCTTTGCAATACTTTCAGTGGAAATATTTAATTAGAATGTAAAAATTCGTTAAATCAGATTTCAGTTGGTATGCGCGTCCTAATTCGATTCAAAATTGCAAAGTTATACCAATTATTTCAAGTACTAAATTCTATTTAATGTAAAATTCTTCCCAAGATTGATTTAATGAAAGCGTACAGATAGTTGATATTAAATTTTATAAAAATATTGAAATATCAATAACATTTATATCAATTTTGTAACGAACAACCTAAATTCATAACCATAACCATAACCATCAAAACACACAGTATATTTCAAATATTTCATCGTGGTAAGTTGGCACAAGCAGTTTTCTAGGCCGCCGGCGAGTATTCTACAGGTAGTCGCTGAAAGAAAGCGTGATTACCAGCCTTATCAGTTTGCAAAGGGTGGAAAATCACTTATTTTACTTAAAGCGTACCTTTGGGGGCCAAAGTTGTGTGCGTAAGTGGCTGTTTCGGAGGGACTGCTCAAGGCCGTTTTCGACGTGCACGCAGCTATACACCATCGGCGGTATATTACCATAATCAATACAATTATTTGTTGTAAACAAACCGAGCGCTCACACAAATACGCCGCGCTTGCACAATATAATCGTTTTCTTTGTGCGCCTGGTTTTGCGCAAACATAACCTCTAATGGCGCAGCAAGACTTCGCTTTATGACGATATCGCATGGCAAAATTCGATGACAAGAGCGCGATTAAGATAAAAGCGTAAACGAAATCAAAAGTCACCTAACAAACAGACTAACACACACGCAAAGAGACAAGAAAGGTGAGCGCGCCGCAACGCACTCACAATGGCCTCATCGGAACGCAACAAAACGAAATGGAAACACACCGACTTGGTGGCAAACAGGTTTCCAGCTCATTTTCTTGCGCCCGAGGAACAGCTAGCCTTTACAATCCCAACGCATTCCACCTTCTAACCAATAAAAACAAACGAATTCATCGTCTAGAGTCTAGAATCTAGCCAGTTCCGAAACAAAAGGCGTATATCTCGAAATAAACAACCGCAAAGAACAAAATAGCTGCGCGATGTTTGTTGGCATTTCAAGGTTACAAGGCGAGCGCTCATTGGGATGAAACAAGCAGCGAAACTCACCTTTCTGGACGACGAATATCCGCGACACTCCGGCGATTATTATTAGGGCTGTGGAGGATCGAGTGGGCGATGCACTAGGTTGATTTGTTCACTCACACAACAACGCCCGTCTATAGGGGCTGACGATAGGGCAGCAAGAAGAAGAATCAGCAAGTGGTTGCTGCTAGTCTAGTCGCTGCTTTCCGTACTCGTACTTTTACAACGCTCGCGCAATGTTATCATCGCACACAGACGGACCTTCACAACGTTCTGTTCGGTTCCGTTGCAGAGCGAGCCGTGTGAATCAAGTGAGCGCTAGGAGCACTAGTCACCTTTAGAATTGTGATCAGGCGCTAGCTGGAGCCACTTCCCAGTGATGATATCAGCGCACGCATTCAAAACACATGTCGGCCTGCAACAATCGATAAATTCACAAGCACTTACAAGCATTTTCATAACAACACAACGAATAAATTCCGTAGGCCTAAAATTAGATTGTTCTTAAACTTATATTAAAATGTACAAAACTCTATTTCTTTGTGTTATTTTACTAATAATTCTTTCCAATATCAAGGGTGCTAAAGTAACTTATACATTTCTTGAGTTTCCATATAAAGAAACGCCTAAAAACGTAAGTTGTTCTCTTATACTTCACAATATATGTTGATAATCATTACTTTAGGAAGCTACATTTCATGAATATGAAGCTGCATGTGGTTTAACATGCAGTGGAAGGCATGGCATTGTAAAAGTTCTGTGTGTCCGGCAATGCATTGCACCTTCTTGTTATAAAGACTTGTATCAAAATGATTTGGTAAGTATAATAATAATAAAAAAATGATTTTATACTACAATACAATAGTTAATGTATAATGATTTTTAGTTAGAGGAAGGTGAAGTTGATGTTAGGCTCAATAGTTTTAAAGGATGTTTCATACAACGACACCATCGGACTAGAACGTAATATAAGATCCAAATAAAAACAATTTAAACAATAAACGAAAACGGTTTGTATATTATTTAGCAAGAAATTGCTGATTTGATGGTTTAACGTAGGCAACCAACCACTCTGTCGACAGGTTTAAGATAACAGCTTATAGTTGCTTACATGATTACTACTTCTATTGACAGTGCAAAAAGAATATTATTCAGGATTCAAAAAATTAAACTCTCATTTTCATATCGAGATAATTAGTTTCATTTCTCTTCATTCCTAATATCATTTTGTAATCTGTATACACACGAATAAATATTATATACACATATAGTTAATAACAATATGTACACAAAACGTGAACATATTTATATACATTTTATAAACTCAAACGATGCACAACTTGTTTCTTGTCATTGTTGTGCATCATCATCATACAAGATTGCAGAAAACAGAATAGTCCTGGATTTATGTTTGTTTTTCTGCCTTAACCAGTAACCAACGTGATTATATATAATTATGTAGACTTATATAGTACAATTGAAATGTTTACATATGTATTCACACTCCAAAGTTCTTAGTATATTTGTCATGATTTTTTTCTTGAATCCATCGTGGTAAAAGGATTCATAATTAAAACATATAAAAACGTACTAATTCTACGTATGGAATGTATAAATACGAGTCTACCAACTAACCACCGAAATGAAGTACGTCAACAACTCTTTACCCTCTTCTGTAAACTTTTTCTGGTAACTGTCAATATCATGCCAACTATAGTGTCGAAATACAAGTTCAAACTCTCATAAATAAAAATAGGATCATTATTTTATTAGAAGATGATAGTATTTTTAATTTTGGTTAGAATTATTAATAATTTTTAGACTTTTGTTTTTTGTGTATCTTGATGCAACCCAAATATCGCAAGTATCTAAACTTTTCGTGATCCAGTTTGATACAAACAAATAAACCTGATCTTTGTTCCATCCATTTATTTACTGTTTTCACTGTGGAGACGTTGAGAGTTTGACTTTACGGCGTTGCATTATACCGTACTTACATGAACTGTGTTATGCGTGAGCTCATTCTGCATGCTACCGTTGCTATTACTCGCGACTAGGGAGACCTGATCACCAGCAGCCGTGGCCGACACCTGCGTATTCATACGAATTTCAATCGACGGCGTATCTTCCAAGGAGTGCCGCGGCGGTGTCGGCGAATTTTTCAACTTCGGTTTCTTGCCCAGACCGTGCAATTTTGGCAAGTGCTTGAGTGCGCTGCCCGACCGTCCGCGAAAACCTTTCTTATCCGACGCTTCAGCGCCGCCTTCCTCTACAATCGAATCGAGGCTTGCATCACCTGCGCCGCCTTCGTCCTCTTGAATCGGAATGTCATCTATGAATAACATAAATAATTAGTTAGTAATTAAATAATATTTATATACACGATTAGGTAGTAAAGGATTGGGATATTTACAGTGACAAATTCATTATTCAACCAAGACGTTTCAAGATCTTGTTTAGTTTAGATATTCAGCGCTTGTTTGCAGACTTGCGGTTATATCTTTTGGGTTGTTCTATCAAGGAGCACAATTTTAGGGTATATTAGGGTATTAATAGGTTGGTATAGTTTTACCTGGCAGTTTCTTCGTTCGGAACGAAGCATTCGTAATCATCGACTTGTTGATCTGCTTGTTCATAACCTTCAGAGGCATGTTCGGTGTTGGAGCACGCTGTAGAAGATTACTAACAGAGTACGTCACCAACAGAACATCAGTGAATGTTTCATAAGAGGCACGCTGAATGATGTCGTGCAATGTTTGGGCGGCGCCGTTTGCACCGCGCTCGAGTGCATGGTATACTGTATGCGCAAACTCCAGCATTAATTGGCTGGACACTGGAATTCTTGGCGCAGTACTATGTTGCAGGTTGTCGCTGTCTGCAGAAGTGCGATTGCCGCCTGATTGAAAGCCTTGTGTTATAAGCCTACAAAAAATTGAAAGAAATAAAATTGTCGACTTTTTTACAAATACAAAAACTACCTGGAAATTATCCGACATGTATGTTCTAACCCATTGCAGCTAACATTGGCGACCTGCTGATTAAATATGAATATCAAAGCGGTAATAACTCGCTGTCGATTCTGCGCGTTCAACGCATCGATCTGTGGCAACGGCCCCCAATTGACAAGCTTCGTATTGCATTCCTCCCACCGTCTCAGCGAATTCTCGGCAATAAACGCCGGCTCCAAGTTTGATGAGTCGTGATACAGTGAAGATTGAGCAATACTCGGCACCCGGAACGACTTCACCTTTGGCTGCAGATTTGAATCTATCACCTCCAAATTGTACAAGCTGATGATTAGTGTTTCAACAGCTGGATAACTTTTTCTATCACTCAGATGCAAGTATGCCAAGTCAGGCACAAATTGTATAGCAAACTTGCTCAGACTGTTGTCTCCTGATCTATAGAATGCTAGTAATTGTTGACATACTTTGTCAATGATCTACAATTTACACAAAATTAAGTTCTGAATGCCACATTTTAATTGAAATCAAAACTCACACTTGTGTCCTCCCTATGGTAACATGGATCAGTGAATACAGCATGCAGGGACTCAATCACTTCATCTTTATGCTCAAGCTCACCAGCATAGGTGATAATTTCACTCTCAGTGAGCGCCTCGTATTCTTCAATCCAATCGGTCACCAGCACGTCTGCCATGATTAAATCCTGCAAACACACAACACCGATTTAATTTTGTGATGCATGACTTCATCATTTGATCTTGGTACTTATTAAACTGGCTCGAAACCATCAGCAGGTTATGATGGTGCACGTACACCACGGGAAGCGAAACGCATGAACCGCGAATCGTGCATATCTTGCACCACTAAAAGAACCCAACGCGCGTACGAAGTGCAAGCCATTAAATCATCGTTGCGAGTAATTAACGCGATTGATATAAAACGTTTACAAGCGAAAACCTTGAAATAAACTAAGGCGACGAGTGTCAGAAATGAGAAAACTGGAGAAAACACGATTGGCATGCCTACATAATCAACATCAAACATGCAGCGCCATCTAGCACAATAATCCTGAAGTAGAACTAGAAAATTTAAAAGATTTTTGATGAAATGAAATTTATGACAAAAAATATTAATTCGAATATCAGAGTAATATTTTCTACTTAATATGATAGTGGAATAGAACCTTTACAACGATTTCTATTGTTATTAGACTAATTGTTTAGAAAATGTAAGAACAATATCTTGCCAACTATTCATTTTACCCTTTTCAAATTTTCCATTGAATGCCCCTTTTGTATTTAGAAAAGTTATAAAACACTCACCATTGCATCCATGTTGAAAAAATGAATGCATGTATGGTCGTCGAGTAGAATTTTCCGATGAGAAAACAAACATGTTGTCCCCACTTTGTAACTGACTACGAAAAACTAGCTACCTGGCACGCTGTTCACTCTTATTTGAGGCGCATACAAAATTCAACTGTATTTCGTTGCTCCTTGACACGGGGATGGAGTTTAGAATTAAATATTAAACTGTTCGTACGAAGATCTATGATTACAGCGTTAATAATTAAATGATGATGCGCATTCAGAACAGGTACGTATTTCCAGTTCGATTTTAGGGAGTAAAACATCATTTACCACCTACCATATCAAAACCACACCTGTTCGGGAAGGAACTTCTTCGATTTTGTAATTTGCCGTCGTTTGAAACTTAAATATTCGTTTGAACTAATGCTGAAAGAAAAATAAATGCTGAAATTGTGTAGTGTTGTTTCCATACATTACACGTTCAAACAGGATTTTCAAGTAAAACAACACCATTTTGATAGTACAGAATCAAAATTACATTATTTGATTTTAATTAGACGTTTACAGTAATTCCATGCTCAAATATGCAATGCTGTCGTTAGTATAACTTCATCCTCTCGAATAAATAATATAAATGATGTTTCGCTTAATTGTGGACATATAAGAATTAGAGCGATTGATAGTAAATTGTTTTCAAAATGTAATACATTTTAGGAGCACACACATTCATTCGGATACTTATTGATTACATGTCGACATTCAATAGTTCCCTCTGCCCAAAGAAAAAGCGCTGCGAAAACCAACCATTGAACGCAACCGCCTCCGATTTAACACTACAGGTCTGTACAGTTAGGACTTATGGACTAAATTTGCTTAACATTAAAACTAAGTTTACATGCAGCTACGTTTCCGCCGGCCGCAGTAAATCAGGTACTAAATGCATGTCTTATCATTTATCATTTACATCATCGTCTTGTAGAGTCTGCAGCTCAGACACGCTGCACGTTACGTACGTAGATATATTACGAATATAAAAGTTTCGAAAGGCTTTCACGAAGGTGCGCTGCTGCGTTCGAACGGTTTGTTTTCGCTGCTACTGCGACATTCACACGCAACGTTATACAAAGCGTTCACAACGCCCCAAATGCGGCCGAATTAAAATAAGTTAACAAAATAGCCGTAAAAATACTCGTATCCTATATAAATAATCGTTAGCTATATACACTAGTTACTTAACTTACATGATAACTTAGTTTTTGTGTCAAAAAGTTCAGAATATACAGGAACAAATTTGATTTTAGTCGTTTTGCGTTGACGTGATGTGTGATTAAATATAAATACAATCGCTTACAAATTAATTAACTCTTACAATTAGTTTATACAACAAGGAACAATAAAAAATAATATACATCGCACATTGCTAAATGATATTTACTTATCTATGTAGATTCATAGGTTTTTGTATCTTTGTTTTATCCTTTAAATTGTCATGGTTCGCTTGCGATAATGAAAATGTGATGTATTCTGACTAAACATTTACATATACTAAAAATAATACTCCAAAATTTGCAAAAGTCCAATCAGAACCTGATTTTTGGTCAAAATTTGTGTAAAAATTGCAGAGTTTTTAATAGCATTCACAGTAGCAATAAAAATCAGTTAATCCATAAAATAACTAATGATATCAGACTAGATGCCACATTGATAAAAATAAATGACTGAGCAGATGAATAAAGTTTTAATACATGTCTTTTGTGTTTTTCAGATGGGTGGTAAACGTTTTAAAATGTTAATTCCGCGTTAGCAATCGACAAACGACGAAAACAGTTACGTTGTTCGTGAGATCAATCCACACACGTTCTTTAAATACCCGCTATGAAAAATTGAAATAGTTTAGAATATTGTTTACGCATTCATGCCGATCATGAGAAATGTACAAGTCCTTTGAGTTCCACAAGAGCAGTGAAGTCAATAAATAATGCGTTGTTGTGATTCATATAAATGTATAGTGTTCATGTGTAATATTCTACCGGTCAATATGTTCCGAATAATTTAATTAATGTGTCAGGCATAAAAATCTTTGGCTTGGAAAATTAAAGTAAATTAGACTAAAAATAATAAATTCATTTAAAATCTTAATCAATATTCTTTAGTGTAGGTGTAATTTCTTATGTACCTGCTGCTTACTTTAGAGCTTAAAAGCTAAACGACGTCATAAATATTAATAGGTAGTTTGCAGTCTTATTCGCGGTTTAATTACTCATTTTATGCAGTGCGCTATGTTATGTGATTCATAAAAATTGTATGTACCAATATACGTTTATAGAAAAATATAAATTGTAAGTATTAATTAAATTATTTAAAAGTTGTGTGTCTAGGGTGTAAAATGCAACCGTTGCGTTGCGTTTACTAATTTTTGGCACGAATTATACTTCCAGTTCGGGAGAGTGTGAGAGATCGTAATCGCGACGTTAACGCTTCGTGGGAAAAGTCTCTTTTTGGCGTCGCGATTACTCGTTTACTCACACTTTCGAAATCGCATGCCCGTTGATGTACTCGTACGGCATATAGTCCTTGTGATCGTCGTCGATGACGCGCTTAGGCGGCGAGTCGGGCGGGGGCATATGCTTCGGCGAAGAGTTCTGATACTTAGTACCCGCCATCACTTCGGCGATGGAGTCCGAACGCGGCGGCAGAAGCGGTGCCTTTGGACAACAGTTCTCCATTTGTATGGAGATGCCACTGTCGCACTGATCAGGCTCAGAGAGTGAGCGCTGCGTGTATTGCCGCGAGAGGCACGTCTGGTTGCCGCCGCCAGCACCGCGATCAACGTCGTTGACGTGCATCGGCAGGTTCTTGAAGCTGGTCGACGACGAGCACTTACGGAAGTTGCTTGCTATATTCATGTCCAATGGACCAGAGTCCTCCGTCTGGACGGAAGAAATCGGCACGTCCAAACAGGGCGAGATGAGACGCGGGTTATCCGCCAGATATTCGACAATCTCCGTCGCCGGTGGACGGTCCTTCGGATCACGATTCCAACAATGCGTTAACAACGCTTCCCTAGAGAATACACGTATGTGATTTATTTGAAGACTGGCAGTAGTGTAAAAATTAAGTGTGTTTTACTTACAAAGGTCCTTTAACGCCTTGAGGGATCGCTAGACTATGTCCATTTTTAACGTATTCAAGTACCTCGGTGTTGCTCATCGCCTGATATGGAAAACTACCGAACGTGATAACTTCGTACAACAATACCCCGTAGCTCCAAACATCAGATGCTGTAGTAAACACTCCTAGTGCCAAACTTTCCGGTGCCATCCATCTAACAGGTAGCATTCCCTTGCGATTAAACTTGTAATAGTTCGCTACAGGTCGCGTCATACCAAAATCACACAACTTTACGACTTTCTGCTCACTTATCAAGCAATTTCTAGACGCGATATCTCTATGGACATATTTCAATGAGGCCAAGTAACTCAGCCCTCTAGCCACGTCCAAAGCCATGCTGGTGAGTCTTTTTGCAGACACATCATCCAACTCTTCATTGCTGTTTACCAAATGCCTCCGTCCGAGAAGATACGTTTTGAGGTCTCCGTACAACATGAATTCCATGATGGTATAAACTGGTTCCTCTTTCGTACACACACCCAAAAGTTTTACAATATTCTTGTGATCAAATCTTTTCATCACCTCTGCTTCTGATAGGAAGTCAAGTCTTTCTTCAGTCGTAGAACCAGTCTTCAAGGTTTTTACGGCAACACCCGTCCAGCCAACATCCTGAAGTAATGCTTCGCCACCATGAACCGTACCAAATGCACCCTCACCAAGTTTACGATTAAGCACCACATTCTCTTTGGGCACCTCCCAGCCATCCAGACCAGTGTAGGGAACACTCAAAAGATGATCCAAGCCAAGACTCTTCATGTAATCATTGGTGGTAGACATCTTTTTGTCGTAATTACGCTTAACGGTGTAATAGATAATACAGCCGAGGATGAGCAAGACGACAAATACACTAACAATATTAGCAATAACCAATGAGGTCTGACAGGAAACATTGAGAAGATCCGCAACAAGTTGTAGAGTACATGGATCAGCCGGTGGTCCATCAGCCGGTTGAGAATTACTCAACCAAATAATCGCGCTCTTGTTCAGCTCGAGTTTGCCGTCGATGATTTTACCCTCGGCATCAGAAATGTTCGGGAAGAAGCGGCTTACGATGTGTGTGTTCCCATTGTACCATTGCATGACGTTGATAACCGAAAATCGGGTGGACCCACCGCGGAATTTTATTTCGCCAGACACGCCATTAAAATCTAGATGTTTGATGATATCAACTAATTTACTATAAAAACAGACAGAACCAAATTTTAGATTATGCATTTAAGTTATAGGTATGGGTAACTTACTTTGTATTGTTGCTTGAGTGTAATTGATCGATCGCTTCGGGATCCTGCTTTAACAATTTCTGCAACGCATACGCATAAACCCAAACAGCGTCGTAGGCGTACCCTGAGTAATTCGATGTGGAGTTGTACTGTTTGTCGAGCATGTATCTTGCCTTCCAGTCGCGTACGGTAATGTTTTCCTGCATCATATCCTCGTCGTTACCAAAATACGCATGCGCCATGGCAAAATATCCGTTGATCGCTTCCTTCATTGTGGCAGTGGTGCAATTTACGCTTTCGTTGAGATGTTGATTGAAATAGGTCGTATCATACCAGGTATAGTTCAGCCATGTTGGTAGGAACCATACATAACCTTCTTTTGCGGTCATTTGTAATTTGTATGCTTCACACATTACATTTCTTGCTATCTCATCAAACACATCAGCTATAATGATGCGAGCGTTGTCTTGTTTTAACTTTTCTAATCGCTAAATATTCAAAGAAACAAAAGAAAAATTAACATTTTATACCGATTGTCAATAATAAAATGCTTACCTTTGTAATAGCATCCTTATCTCGGTCACGCGGAAATTTTTCATTCGAAATAAATTTAATCCCCTCATTTTCAAGCATGCTTTGCATATGACTTATGTATTCAGTGTACTTCTGTCCATCTTCAGTCAATGCAGCCACCCGTTTCCACCCCAACGCGTTTAAAAACTTCAAATACACATGTTTATAATGTTGATTTTCTCCGATCGTGCGCAAAAAGTACGGATATTTATCCCTGTCCGAAAACAACCCGCCTTCAGCACTGTAACTGATCGTGATAGTCTTGTAGTACTTTGAAATTCCCGCTAGTGGTTCAACGGTGTCACTGCAGGCTGGCCCCAACACCCCAATCAAGTTGGGAAACTGATCGTTCGTAATATAGTCGATAAAAGCCCTCATTACTTTATCTGCTCGGCAAGCACCATCGGCTACCAATAGATTCAGTTTCATGTCGGGCGGTAGTATCTGTGCTCTGTTCACAGCATCAACGGCCATTTGGGCGCCTTTGACTATTCCTCTTCCGGTATACGCAGAGCCCGTAATTGGAAATATTCCACCTATGTTGATCTTTTTCACCTCGTCAATCCTTTCCAGCCATTCTGTATTGATCAATTTCATATTGCTCTGAACCCAGTCACAAGCCATGTCTGGAATCGACTTCGCCCTGCGATTGATGTTGTAAAAGTTGAGAAGATCTTTGTATTGGCCATCCAGCAAATTCATCGCTCCCAATAAGTCAAAAATATGATTTTCTTTGCCTTTTTGAATTTCTTGCCATGCAAACTTTGCTAGCCGTTTTTTCTCATAGAAACAACCCGACGTTTGTGTACTCTTATAGTCGCAGCGTTTCATTGAGACGGAGAAAAAGCGCTCTACATCAAAAACGACATCACTAGGCGTCCAGCTCATAATAAGATATCCTGTGCCTACGGAGCGTCGCGAGAGGTAATTTGCGACGGTTTCAATATTTTGACCCACCCAGATGACGCTGACGTAAACTCGCATTTCATTGATGTGTTCTATAATGACGCTGGTGGATTTGAAATCGGGGGCGATTATCGTAGCACAGTAATTATCCCTACACCAGTCCGGAATGTACTGGCCATTAATGCATTTTGTATCTTTACACTGAATTCTAAATACAAAAGAACCAACAATCAGTTAATGTCAAATACAAAAATTAATGATGTAAACTTACATATAATTTTTATCCTTGAGATATTTTTTATCGGCAGCGCTGAGTTGAAAACCCCTGGCAAATTTAGGGTCCTTGAAATAGCTCCACGGAACGTTCATGGAGTCGTTCGACCAGTTCGAATCCCATTTGCGCATGATTTGCTCGTACTGCACGGGAATGAACCAGCCGAAATACTCCGGTGGCGCGATCGTGCCGAGCTCCTTACTACAATGCGAGGGGTCCGTAAAATCAGGAGGCACGGGCACCGCGACGTTTATCATCGACGTGGGCACTTTCCTATTTATCATTTTAAAACAAACATTATGATCAACGTGTCCCCTAGGTAAGATTGTGCGTAACTTACGGTATTGTATTTTTGTCCTCGTCCTGTACGAGGCAGTCCATTCTCTCTGTAATGTCGAACGCATCGTAGTCGTGGTACTCAGCTATTCTAACTTGCGCATATCCGAGCTTTTCTTGTAGAATTATGCGGAAAATGTGCGTGAACAGTTGGTGTGTGATGCGTTCGGATACCTCCAACGTCAGCACTGTTATATTGTCGACGAGGAAGTGTCTTTGAACGGGTGGTTCTATGAAATTTAAAATGGTTTGAGACATTTGAAAAATATGTATGTGTGGTTGCCTAAGTTGAAAATCAATTTTCCAATTTATTGTACTTTTGAATAGTTTCAAGGTTCGTCTTAGAATAACAAACGTTACTTACTGGTGTTGTTGGAAAGACATTTTGTCCAAACATCGCCGACGACATCGGCCTGCACGCTGCTGAAGGCTACATCGTCGGTGGCAGACACAATCAACGTGCAAAAGAAGACGCTTATCAGTAAACATCCCGGCGCGCCGCATTTTCCTCTTCTTCTTGTGAATAATCGAATACTCATGATGCTGCTGGCGCTGAAGCATCTGCAATAATCAAACAAGCGACACACGTTAGCAACACGACCGATTCACTTCTGTCTCGCTGCTCAATAAACGTGATCGAATTCGATCTCCACCGCTTCATTGCAATCGTCAATCAGCGCGAGAAACAACCAAACGACCGACTTATGTGATCAATAAACAATCATAAGTGGACATGCACGATGCAAGAATTAATAAACGCACTCGCTTGCGCCGCCTCGCTGGTAAACACAAACAACAAGAGACAATCGACTTGAACTCTAACATCCGTAATGACTTACTATAACTCGCTGTGACTTTCCGCGCCGCCAATGTCGATAATCAGGACTCGTTGGAGAATAATCAATTAGGAATTGGAGGTTGTTGACGACGGCGGCGTAGTACCGACCACAGCGGAATGCGGAGAGGCGGCGAGCGCAATTAGCGTAACCGACGCGCACCGGTGCAAGCCCGCGATTATACTGAAATTAAAGTAGGACGCGCGCGGCGACTTGTGCTAAATACGAAACAAACTGGGAGTAGTGATCATGCCAATGTCGATCGGAACTTGAATGCAATTCAAGTAACATAAAGACAGTAAACACGCTGTAAGTGCGGTCAATCATGATCATAAATAACTACCAACACCATCTACATAATCCACAATAAAACAAGTTCTAACCTAAATATTTTGCTATTTCATGATACTTTCACATGATTTTAAGTAATAATTACCAAATAAAACATCTTGTTTGTTTAAAATTTAGTTAGCACGGTGGCTAGATCAAAAATAAAATCAAATCTTGCGTAGTAGGTTAGGCAACCCACATTTCTGAATAAACAAACAAAAACTTTCAAATATACACAGCGTCCGCAGTGATACAATTAGATTTCTTTAATAAAAAAATAGCCTAAATCGAGTGTATATAGCGTCGCGGTGCCACAAAACAAACAAAAATAAATTATCGCTTTTAATTGTCTGCGACCGACGCGGCGACTATTTTTTAATGTCCGCGCCAGGACATGTATACGTAATTAGCCGACCGCCGAAACACCGAAAAACAGAGCGCCTGGCAAGCGTGCCATAAACTGAATGTTTGTTTGCGGGCGGCAGGAAGAAGATTTTGAGCCCGTGCTGTAAACACGCTGTAAACAAAAATAATTGTCACCGATATTGGAGAATTAGCTGTCAGCGTCAGCTTTGATGTCATCCATGTGAGACGTAAGAGCTCATAAAACGCGCAACATAAAACGACTTAAAACTATAAAAAAAAAGTGCAACCAAAATATACATAAGAAGAAAGTGTTAAAACTTGCTGCTTACTGTTAACATGTATCGACATAAACTGAAAATACGCCTCCAACACTCATTTTCGTAATTTAAAAATGTCGCACGCTTAAGCAATTGATAAACAAAGCATGAATACATCGATTAGTGCGCATCAATCATGCACAATTTACGCAAACGCGTAAACATCAATAACGAAGCGGAGCCGCAGAGAGGACGACAGTCGACGCAAAACAACACTCGCGTAATTGCATTGAAAAACAGCAAACGTTACAACTGCGTAACGACGAGCCACCTCCACCCCCGCGGCACGCCTTACAACTGCTCGTAAACTACGCACAAATAAAATAGATAACAATGATGTCGGTCGGTCGGTCGGCTTCTGTTTGTGTTCGGTGGGTTTTTTCAGCGTAAACCGCGCGCGGCGCGCTATTCCATTGCCGCTATTGCGATTTGGGTCAAAGTTATGCATTAATTGCGACTTGACACTCTGACTTCCAACCAGCAAAGACTTACTACAACTATGTATGCATTTTGTCTATTTTATAGCTGGTCGTTTCTTATCCGCTAGTTTATAGTTGTTGCGTTCTTGTTGGCATTCGTAATATTGTGACATGTATTTTAGCGCATTTTAGCGGATGACAGGACAGCGTGCGCGGCTACTAATTGCTTATTGGTTTTATCTATTGCTAAATGGGCTCGTTACGGCTTTACATTCTAACATGCGACGCGTGTTACGCACAGGTTTGTTATGTTTGTCAACAATGCACATTAGATAATACAAGTAGAAAATTATTTATGCGTTCAAAATGTAATTCCAATAATTCCAGAGTATTTTATTATTATATGTTTACAAATAGAGAAATTGAGGTATTGCAGTACGGCGATTTGATATCGCTACAATGTTGCACAACTTGAGCAACTTGTTTCCTAGAATATAATTAACATCTCAAGAAAACTTCAAAATTTTTCCCCGACTCATCGTTTTAAATTTGCTTCCATTGCAACCCCTATTAATTATCTTTTTTTACGTCGATTAACATCAAAGAATCATCCTCTAATGCATCCGCTCCTTCTCGCTGCGAATCAATTAAACCTACAAACATTAAACGCGTTTGACAATAATTAAAGGCGAAGGGTAGATCGCGCCCTCGTCAGCGGATAATTACCGTCGACGACACGAGAACACAATCTAAATGTCAAATTAACGTGTCTGGACGCACATAAAAAAGAATTCAAATTAAGTGAATTTCCAGTTCGCCTGACGGCGCATGATTAATACGAAAAATATGCGCGCAGCCCGCCAAACGCACCGCAAGAACAAGTTTCGGGGGTTGCGTTCCGAATCGCAGTCGCGTTGCACATTAAACATTCAACATGGAACATGAATTATTCCAAAGTAATAAATTAACCTCACGACATAACCCTTAAAATAAGCTTAGAAAACAATTACGACACACATTTCGGCTCATTCGACAACAAAAGATGCATATATTAAACACAAGATGGTGGGCACATTGTACGTGGCGCCCCCTACAAGCGTAATATGCACCGCGGACAGGTAATTAAGGCACCTGTCGACTGGCAGACTGACTGCTTAGTCGTCTCGACCGCAATTTAAACACAAACGGCAGATACGCGTGTTGTCTCGTGGTCGAAAGCTATTTGCTCGACGTCGTCAGCGAAGCGAGACCCATTAAGGCCCTTATTACATCCCTCCGTGGTCACAAACTCAATGTGTCTGCATCTACATGCATACATTTCGAAAAATCATGCTCAAGCGTTGAGTTAGAGTTGAATTATTACTACTACAAGTTGATTTAAATGGTGTCGCTTACGTGATTTTATAGATTGGCCAGTTAATCAAATTCAATCAGCTATCTACGACACACCGTTGATGATTCTATTTGTTTCCACTTTAGACACACTCGCAATAAACTTTGATCCAAATCAACAAGTTGATTTTCAATTGTTACAACGACAATTGCAGCTGCACTCTTGTGTAGACCAATAAAAACTTGTTATGTTACCATGGATACCACGTCGGTAACCATGACAACACAACAAGTTAGCTGGTGCGTGCTTGCACGCCGCCTTAATTAAAACAGTAGGTAAGTTAAATTGATAGTAATATCTTCGAGAGAACGTCCGACCGAACCGATTCTCATCAATAACTAATCGACGCTATTAGGCGACCAACTGATAGGTCACTCGGCGTCCAGGCCAAGCTTATTATAATGAATTAGTTCAATTCTCGATCAGTTCATGAATAATAAGTTAGTTAATTGGATTCGATTTGTTTTCCGGCCGTGGTAATTTCACCTATTCCAAATGCAATAAAATTGACGTCAATTGTCAAGATAATACGCATTTGTTTAATTTATGTTTTGTTTTGTTGGAAAGTCATTGACACTCTTGAACTTCAATACAATTAACGCGCGCGTCAACTCGTAGAGGAGGAGGATTCGACGTTTTTAATGAAGAACAAGACGAGTAGTTTTCGTTGTAGTAATAAGATTGCAGCCGTTTTGGACCGAGTGAGTGGTGGGTAGTGAGCGTGGCGGGAATTTGTTGACCTCACGAATATAAACATGACCTTAAATCACCTCGAATTATAAAGCTGAAGCCGAAAATGCCGCGCGGATGGAAACTTTACGAAATCCGACGAAAGTGTACGAAACACGACGTGGCAATATAATAATTGCCAAACGGTTAGTCATGTTTATTCTTTATTCGGTTGAGACGTTTACCGACGTTTAAACATGTTTATCAACAATTAGTGCGCGTCACAAGAGAGTTAAAATTCAATTTTCATAATAAAAGTTGTTAATTTCTCGAATATTCCACGCGCTGCATCAAAACAAAACTTGTTTACGTTCAAAGTTTTTATTAATTCAGTTTAGTAATATTAACGGAAGCAAACAGTGATGACATGTGATTATTATTACTCATGGTGGTGATTAGTGTTTTCTATTTGTTACATTTTGTAACATTGTAATGTCTATCGCCTTTGAGCGTCATTGATATAGCAGGAAATAAAACAACAAACAAATACATCATTTTAGTGGTAGTTTTCCAATTGATAAGTTTCGTAACTCTTGATACATCATTAATAAACGCCGAGATTAAATATTGATAAGCAGTAAAAACTTTCCTGAGACACCCTCAACTCTTTTGTTGATATTCATCGCTAGAATACGCGTAAAACGTGAAAAATGGCTCGAAACAAGTTGCAGTAGAGAAATTATTCCAGCGGGGATATCCAGGAAGTTGGCAATTTCGTTGCGGGGGAAAACTGGTAAAACTTTGCAAAAGTGATCAAATATTTATGAAAAATACGGCGACGGTGAAAGTCGGACGTGTCTTGACGACGTGACGAATGACAAACGAACCGAGGGGACGACGTAAATTCGACGAAATATGGTAACAATAAATGGCGGGACACGGCGAGAGGGCTACAACTTCAACAAACTTGCAGGAAACTTTCAACAGCGCGTGGAGATTTTGTGATTTATGATTTTGCTTCACAAGTCATTACATCAGTACATTGTTTTATTAGTGCGCGCAGGAATAAAAGTTTGTCGCATCAAACTCAACTTTAAAATGGAATTAATAAAACTTACATCCACAAAAATAAAAAGAAAATCCAAGCCTTGGATCAGTCGAAATTCCTCTCGTTGATGAAAAAAAATCCAATCAGCAGCCGCAACTGCACCAGAAAGTCAACTCTAGTGTT